AATAAAAATAAAATAAAAATAAATACATTAAATGACAAATTAACAATGAAAAAAAAGTAATTAAATTTAAATGCCTTAAATTAAAAATTAAATTTACTAAAGTTAGAGAGAGTAAATGTTTTTTTATTCAGAATTTATATTGCTTCAAAGGATGTCTCAATTAATTACAATTTGGAAATTCTAAATTACAAATCTTTTTAATTTAAATATTGAAATAGGTGTAGAATTACAAAAAAAAAGAAGAAAGATTGCTTTCTATTATATACCCTACCATTTGATATATCAAAAAATCAAAATTTGTCTTAGATTAATTTTTTTTTCTTCTTTAATAGAGTTAAATAATTTTTTAACTTTATTATTATCTTTAACTTCAATTATTTATCACATCATAAAAAACTTTTATTTATATTACTTTTATTAAATTTAATATAAATAAAAAATAAATTATTTCTAATATTAAAAGAAAATAAAAAAATAACTACAGTAATATTTTGCGAAAAGAGGTATATGTCTTTCTTTAATGGCTAATATAAGTAAGCCTAGAGCTACGTAGAAACCAAAACATAGCCGCGAAAATCAAAGGATGAGACAGAGAAAGAGGTGGCAGACCTACCAATCGAAACAAATCAGCAATATCACGCTTATCAATTGGCGACCACTCTTTTTTGGCGGCTGACTCCAAAGTATTCCAAGCATTTTTGGCGGAATTAGCATACCTTACCTCCCTCAATTTTCTTGCTCCACATGAAATTTGAATTGCATGCAGAGCGGAAGCATCTTTTTTAATCCACTCCTTTATAGAAACTCCAGAATCAGGTACCAGTGTAACAACATCCCAAAGATCCTGAGAAACTAAATAGCATTTCATGTAAAAGCGCCAGCTCTCATAGTTGCCACTTTCTAGAAGTTCAGGGACAATCATATTCGCAGCAGTAATCTATAAAATCATAAATATACCATCAAATTAATATTGGCATGACAAGCGGCCAATTTGAAAGCTAAACATCCCCAAAGATGGGGAAAACGCAACAAGAAAAAAAAAATGCTGATATTACCTTTGAAGTTTCATCATCTTCATCATCATCATCATCATCATCTTCTTCTTCTCCTCCTTCTTCTTCTTCTTCTTCTTCTTCTTCTTCTTCTTCTTCTTCTTCTTTTTCTTCTTCTTCGTGATGTTCGGAAGTGAGATTAATTAGAATTAAATTCATGATTTAAAAGTTTGAAATTGAATTATACACATTTTAATAGTACCAAGCAAAAGAGTATATAGAATTGCATGCATGTAAAATTCCACATCTTTTGCCAAATTAATTTGAGTTAAATGCAATCTTAAACATAGGATGTCATATAAAGACAGAAGTGGCAAACCTGAATTATCTATTTTTGATTTCTCTTTAGCGTTTAGTCTTTTCAACTTATGCCAAGCATCTACTGCACCATAGCAATTCTTTATCCGATTAAATTTTTCTGCTCCGCATGAAATCTGAATTGCATGCAGAGCAGCAGCGTCCTTTCTTCTCCACTCCCTTTTCGAAATTCCAAGAGGATTGAAGAAGCGTTGAGTAACCACCCAAAGATCTTGAGAAACTAAGTAGTTTTTCATGAAGATACTCCATCTCTTATAGTTGCCTCTTTCTAGAAGTTCGGGGACAATCATACTAGCCATTGCCACATTCATCTATCAAACCATACCAACAAATTAATATCAAAGTGACAAGTAATTGTAGTTTGAAATTAAGACCCTAAAAAAGCAGGGGATGATTACTTGCCTTTGGGGTGCTTCCATTAGTTTCAGGCTCTGTTTTATGCATTTCGGCTAACATATCTAAAGCATCCTTTGCTGAATGGGTATACCTTATAAGAACAAAGCTTTCTGGTCCACATGAAATCTTAATTGCATTTAGAGCGTTGGCATTCCTTTTTCTCCACTCAGATTCACTAAGCAGCGGATGATCAGCGGTTAATACAAATGAAACAATAATACCATCCCAAAGCTCTTGAGAAATCAAATAGTCTTCCATGAAAATGCTCCAACTCTTATAATTGCCCCTTTCCAGAAGTTGAGGGAAAATAAAAGTTGCAGTACTAGTACTTGGCATTGCCATAAAGTTGATGATCTAACAAACAATAAATATAAAT